TTCTTCATATTGATTATTTTGACGAGAACCTGATTCCACCATGTTGCCTCACATATGTAGGCCTACAGAAAAGATAAGAAGTTCATTCAACAGGGATTTAAGCAAAGTCAGGCTATGGGAATGTCGCTTCCCTTATTTAACTTAATTTAAGAATGACAAGACATCATGGATTGAAAATTTCGAAGTGGTTTTTTTTTTTTTTTTTTTTTTTGGTGGGGGGGTTATATTATGTTGGACGATAACCGTCCACCCGATAGAAAAGAGGGGCAGATTTCTCCGTCCCTCGGTTACCTCGGGCAGTATCCGCCTCGCTAAACCAGTGGGCACAAGGCCGGAGGAGAAGCTGAGAACAGATACCACCTTTGATCTTAACCAAAAGGTCGAGAAGCGATTTGTTGTTTTGCTTCGCTCATGAAGTGGAATAGGGTAGCCTACAAATGTGTAAAGCCTGCTATCTTTGACTTTTGTCACACTCTTGCGCACTTATCAGATCCAGGAAGTTAACAAGCTGACCTGAATTTTGGTATGCAATGGGATGGGGATTGTTTATATGAATGAGTTGTGTAGAAAACCATTACAGGTAGGTGGGCAGGAGGGGGCGAAAAAAAGAAAATCCGTGGCCAAACCGAGGCTCGAACCTGGACTTTCTGCTTTGGAGACAAGCGCACTAACCACTCCGCCACCACGGCACTATAAGCTACAGGCTTTAAAAATACTGCAATAGTGCTTTGTGGTCATGTTGTCACCGTGAACGACAACAAAGTGGGAATCCCTCAATGACGTCAAACAAGATGGCTGTTACTATAAATATCGGCCAATTGCGTACATCTGTCGTTCTCAAGTTATCTGCATGTGTAGAAAACTTCCGCCGATGAAGGCTCTCACAGCAATTAATGTTCCCACGCAATATTTGTTATCATTAAAGTTAAAGGCTTCTAATCATGTACATTGTAGTCAGATTACCATAACAATGTGAGACCTCTGAAGGTCAATGTATAGAGTGGGTGTGTGTGTGTGTGTGTGTGTGTGTGTGTGTGTGTGTGTGTGTGTGTGTGTGTGTGTATGTGTGTATGTGTGCGTGAAGAGAGAGAGAGAGGGATAGAGGGAAAGGGAGAGGGAAAGGGAAAGGGAGAGTGTGTGTGTGTGTGTGTGTGTGTGTGTGTGTGTGTGTGTGTGTGTGTGTGTGTGTGTGAGGGAGAGAGAGAGAGAGAGAGAGAGAGAGAGAGAGAGAGAGAGAGAGAGAGAGAGAGAGAGAGAGAGAGAGAGAGAGAGTGAGACAGACAGACAGACAGACAGACAGACAGACAGACAGACAGACAGACAGACAGACAGACAGACAGGCAGACAGACAGGCAGACAGACAGACAGACAGACAGACAGACAGACAGACAGAGACAGAGAGAGAACGAAGGCAATACATTCGTGATAGAGAGAGAGTTGGAAAGAGGAACAAACCATCTACGGTACATGAAAACCCCAAGAGACAAATCTGAGACAGACAACATGATAACATTACTGTACACCTTAATTTATTCATAAAACTCTGTGACCCCAATAGGTCAATTTACATAATATATAAAGAATTTCATCATCACCTGCATTAAGTCTAAAACTAAACAGTCATATTATACATATATAGCAAAACATCATAGTGTATATATATATATATAGGCTATTTGAAGAATTATTCTTTTTTCCAAACCATCAAATGATTGCTAAACTTGAACACACTGATAAGACATAATAATACATGCAATTTTGAAGGCAGTCACTCAGAATATGAAAGGGCCCAAAAAAAGAAAGGGTCTACCCAATCACATCTGGCTGTAAAATAGTGGGGGGGGGGGGGGGTTTCGTTATTAACAACACAAGTCAGGGGAGACTACACAAGATATCAACATCTGGATGAAATATGACTGGACAGTTTTCAATCGTAGCCTTTACAAACTACCTTAACTCTTAGTTGATCATGTTCTATTAAGTCCAGCCTTTTATTTATTTATCTATTTATTTATTTATTCATTCATTCATTCATTCATTTATTTATTTATTTACCAGATATTTATTTAATATATTTATCTATTTATCTATCTTTATCTCTTTTAATTGCTTTTTTTTGGGGTGGGGGGGGGGGGGGGGGGAAAAGGGGTTACAAACCCAGGTCAGGGGGAGGCTACACAAGGATATCAACATCTGGAGAAAATATGCCTGGCCATTTTTCAATCGTAGCCTTTACAAACTCCCTTAACTTTTAGTGGACCATGTTCTTTTAAGCCCCGCCTTTTATTTATTTATCTATTTATTTATTTATCCATCCATTCATTCATTCATTTATTTATTTATTTCCCAGATATTTTTTTAAAATATTTATCTATTTATCTATCTTTATCTCTTTTATTTGCTTTTTTTTGTGGGGGGGGGGGGGGGGGGGGGTAAGGGGTTTGTGTTCATTTTTTCTCGAAACCACCTCAAGGTGATTTAGACCCTTCACTTTTCTGGCTCCTTCATTTGCATACAAACATTAATAATACATGTTGTACAAAAATCATACACAAGGAAGGAATGCCATACACCTGCAGGAAATCAGACACCGGTATAACTAAAATTACTCTACACTTGTAGCAAGTTACACTGAAATTCTCTTTTGAGTGTTGTTCAGCTCTGAATACATCTCAACTTTCAAAATTAATTTCACATCATTAAAGAAACCTATTTGAAAACATTAGTACAGAGTAGAATTAGTTTCAATTACATTAATGCTCCAACAGTCAGTGTGTGATTGGTTAGGTTAGGTCAAAGATTTCGGGTCACGCAGAAAGACTTTTGGAATGCTAAGAACCCGTTGCTTATCAGCAGAGTTCGATTAAAACTCTGCCGTGAAATAAGAGCACGGAAGAGGAAGGCACTGACGATACCGAAGACCAGGATGGTGATAATAATGATCATAACAAAACATCTAGCTGAGAGGCATTTTTGCAGCAGTAATGACAACAACAACAGCAACAGCACAACCGTTATTACAACAGCAACAACAACAATGCCAAGAAGAGCAACAATGATAACGACAAAAACAGTATCAATAATAACGACAACAAAAACAACGCTGACAGAATGAAGAGGTGACAGTTATGGCACTTGCTATAGTAAGTCGCTGACTGTCACAAAACTGCAACAAGGCAGATATACGGTGTATTATCGCAAGCACAAAATATATCTTTAGTTTTAGTTTTAGTAAGAGTTTTACAGCACTTGCAACACAATAAGGTCATATAAGTGCCAAAGATTAGAGGTGTTACAAGAGAGTAACAAAAACACAAAATAGAAGGAGGAGGAGAGATCAGGACGATAGACGTTTGATAGGAAAGAAGAAGCAAACTACACCAGAGCACCCGCCAACCACCCACCAAAATATATCTGAGACAAAAAAAACAAACAAACAAACAAAAAACAAAATCACCACCGTTGATTAAAAAAAAAAAAAAAAACACTCTTGATTCTACTGCTTTTATCTTAGACAAAGACAAGGAAACATGAAATTTAAGAACACAAATTACAGCTGCAGGGTGGACCGTTGATAAAGTGGAAGACACAATTGACAACAAATTCATTCACACACTGACCGAGACGATAGTCATTATACAAAAAGAGCTAGCTTGCTTGTTTGTTTGAGTACATATGTTTTACAGCACTATCAATACAATTTGGTATGTAAAAAAAGCAATAACCCTTCTGACAAATTATAAGTATGTAACCTTGATGTAAATTGAGCTGCCACTAAAAATGAACCATCTTGTGATGTCAAGGGACATGACTCTTATCTTTACTGTGGGGACAAGATAATTAAGGGAGTGGCACGCCCTTGGATGACGTCAAGGGTCCGGCGCGAAACAGGCGGAGATCGTCTGAGAGACTCACTGAGGTATTCAGTCGGACTCAGGACCACGACGAGGCAACACTTATCTTGGACGGGGCCCCCTGACAGACCCGACTTATCAGACCGCCAGGTAACTTTACACCATCCAACTCTTTCCTCTTCCTGCTCTCACAAGGAAAAACATTTCTGCCCACAGTAGTAGAACTTGGCAGAGAAAGAAAATATTTGCAAATAGGAAAAAAGCAAATATTTGCAAATAGGAAAAAAGCTATTGAATAGTAAGGCACGATTTCTTGTTGATAATAATATAGCAAAAAGCTGGCAAATGGCTCAAATTTGGAAAATTCCATATTCCTATCAAAATCAAACTTTAAAAAAGGAATGAGACGAACTGAGAACAAATCAGCGAGCTACAAAATACGACACGTCTTTACTGAGTTTGTTATTTTCTATACTAACCTTTACAAAGGTAAAATTACAATCCTGGAATTTAAGATGCATGAAAACAAGATATCAGTGACTAAAAATAGAAGAGTTTTCCTCAAATTCCACTAAAAAAATAGGAGTTTAGTGGGAAAAAATCGTCGGAGTTCATTGAATCCCATTAGATTAAGATTACATAACAACCTTACTGTGGCAAAGAGACGTGTATTGCAAAGATAAACACATAAAAATGTGTAATTTCTACATCATTTACAATAAGTTCAATACAACCTGATGAAAACAAAATTCTAGAAAAATGTTGGATTTTCTACAAATACAGTTACGATTCTTCAACAGGCGAAATGAATCTGGAAACTTCTGATTTTATTCGAGCACTTGAGTGGTCTGGGAACACTTTGATGAAAACATTGATTCATCTAAGTATGAACCCATGAGACATGTCTTCCCTCTTGGAATCCCTCACAACATTAATGAAATTACAACACACGATAACATTCTGCTTGGACAATTTTCAACAGTAAAATGCCTCACCAGTAATATAATATGTCATTTATTTATATGGACACTAGTAGCCATTTTATGCCTATGAAATATCTTATCATCATCATCATCATTTTCATCATCATCATCAATGAGAAAGAGAAAATATTGCCCTGACCTCTGAAAAATCTTTGAGATTTTCTTTTCCACGTAGATATACATAATTACACCACAACAACGACATTACAACCCAAGAAATTCAATGTCATTTTCCCACGGAAGTTGTAAAGACTTGAAAAAAATGCCCCAGTAACATCTTTCTATACATTTTTTACTGGGAACCAACAAAACACAGTTCTCTCAGTTTTTGGAAGGCCTCTTGTGAACTATCGAAACTCCGCAGATAATTGAATAGGTCATGTGAAAAACAGGACAATTTCATTTTTAGACAAAATGTGGGTACTAGCCCTTGATTTGTGGTGTTTAGAAAAAATTAGGGTAAGCCTACTAGCCCTAAACTTGCGGTATATATAGGAAAAATATAGGTGCTAGCCTTTCACTTATGGTGTCTTTATAAAAGCAAATCAAGTGTAAAGCTGAGTCCATCTTAAAATAGTGAAAACAATAGGCTAAAATGTGTTGTAATTAATGTGGCTTAGCGGCGGGGGAAGTTAGCCTGTTTTACACTTTACCTGTTCAATTTTCTGCTTTCCCACAAGACTACGGGAAAAAAAAAAAAGATTACATTATTGGAGCTAGTTCTTAGAAGGCCTCGTATTTAACAATCATAACACTGAAGGCAACTCTCTCGGTTCACAAAAAAGACTGTAATATCCGAGCGAATTCTTAGAAGATAATTCTCTCAATTTTCCAAAGCGATCCTAACATCGGAGCCAGTTTCTAAAAGTCCTCGTGCAGCACTGTTGTCCTGACTAGAGCCTCCGTGACGCGGTAGGGGTCGCAGTTAGACGAAGGTCGTCTGTCCTCCAGGTAACCTTTCTCATCAGCTGCCACTTGGCGGGGGATACGGACACTGGCCCCTCTGGTGGAAAAAAAAAGATGAATAGAAGTTTTAGTTTTAATAAGTGTTTAACGTCACTTGCAACACAGTAAGGTCATATAAGTGCTAAAGATTGGAGGTGTTACAAGAGAGTAACAAACACACAAAAAAGGAGGAGAAGGGATAAGGACGATAGATGTTTGATAAGAAAGAAGGAGCAAACCACACCAGAACACTCGCCAACCACACACGAGTAGAGGCTTAGGTTGGATATGGTTGGTTGGTTGTTTTAGCTTCAGTAAGAGTTTTACGACAGTTTCAACACAATAAGGTCCTATAATTATAAGTGCGGAAGATTAAAGGTGGAACAAACACACAGAAAAGGAGGAGGAGGGATAAGGATGATAGATGTTTGATAAGAAAGAAGGAGCAAACTACACCAGAACACTCGCCAATCACCCACGAGTAGAGGTTTGGGTTGGATATAGTTGGCTGGTTGTTTGTCCTAGCTTTAGTAAAATTTTACGGCACTTGTAACACAATAAGGTCATGTATAAGTGCTGAAGATTAGATGCGTTACAAGAGAGTAACAAACACATAAAAAAAGAAGGAGGGGAGATAAGGACGATAGATGTTTGATAAGAAAGAAGAGCAAACCATACCAGAGCACCCGCCGACCATCCTTTTGGTTGGATATTTATATGTGTACATGTATTAAAAAAATGTTTAAAATTGACGAAGCAGCCATCCACTGCCAAGGACAAAAAGTGATTGTCTTAGAAAATGTCAGTTTACAGTGGAACTTGTCCAAGACGGCCATCCATAGTCCAGGAGAAATGTGGTTGTCTTAGATAGACAGGAGAACGTCTTTGACAGTGTCACTATAATATAAAGAGACTCAAAAAGGAAAGAGAGGGCGAAGAGGGAAATTTTCATTTGAACAGGTGATTGTCTTGGACAGGTGTCCAATGGAACAGGTCCGAATGCCATTGTTCATTAATTTGCTCTTTCTTTAATCAAGTGAAAGATGAAAATATTACAATTCTCTCAGATGATACCAAAAACCCAACATGATGCTCTAAAATTGACGAGCGGCTGATTTTACAGTGTCCTGATATACGACATGGTCACCTCCCTTGTAGAAGGCCCACCGAGGTCAAGGGAACTAACTCATGTATTGTAATTATGTCCACCTATACCCTCGATGGTCTCCCCTAGACATTGATCATGAACGTAAACTTTCTGTAATTCTTGAAACTCGCTAGCTGTCACTCTTGAAGTCATTATCTTATTTAGTATGAAACAGAATAGTTCGACCTTGATCAGTTTTGTTTGTTTTTTGTTTTTCTTGTTGTTTTTTTTGTTTTAGTATAAGTTGGCACTTGCAACACGGTAAGGTCATATAAGCGCCGAAGATTAGAGATGTTACAGGAGAGTAACAAACACATAAAAAAAGAAGGAGGGAAGATAAGGACGATAGATTTTTTTAAAAGGAAAGCTGGAGCAAACCACACCAGAGCACCCGCCAACCACCCACCATAAAGGTCAGAGAACAACATTCAACCAATGGAAAATCCAGGAAGATGAAGAAAAGAAGAAGAAATAAAAACTACGAAAGATGTGGAAGGAAGAAGAACAAAGAAGAAACAGCAGCAGCATTGAAGAACAGACGTATCCGAATAAGCAGACAACAACAACAACAACAACAACAAGATATGCCTCACCTGTAAGCTACACCAGCAGAGAAGCTGTATATCTTAGAGGTCTCAAAAGACAACACCAACAACAACACCACCACCACAACAACCACCACCACCACCAACAACAACACCACCAACAAAAACAACAACACCACCACCATCAACAACAACAACAACAAAAACAACAACACCACCACCATCAACATCAACAACAACAACAACAACAACAACAACAACAACAACAACAACAACAACAACAAGATATGCCTCACCTGTTGGCTACACCAGCAGAGAAGCTGTCTATCTTGGAGGTCTCAAAAGATCCACACAACCTCCGGGCGTTGTCCTCCCCTCCCCTGGGGTCGTACACGCGGATGTGCTCCATGTGCTTCTTCTCTAGGTCTGTGATCGCTGCCTCAATGGCTCTGGGAATGATGGTCGATATTTGTCAGATTTTTAACAATAATTTTACGTCATTTTAATAAAAGAGAAGACAAAGCAAGACCATCATTATCACCAACTTTATTGTTATTATTATTACTATTACTTTATTATTATTATTATTATTATTACTACTACTACATTATTCCTTATCATTATTATTAATCTTATTATAATTATTATTAAAATCCTTATTATTATTATTATCATTATCACCGTCATCATCATCATTACTATTATTATTATCATTATCATTATTAGGCTATTATTATTATCATTATTATTATTCTTATAATTATCATCATTATTATTTTTATTATTATCATCATTATTACCATCATAATCAATATCTACCCTTATTGTAATGCACTCACTTCAAGCCCCCCTTCTCCCTCATGGCCAGGGTGCTGTAGTTACAATGAGCCCCTGAGCCGTTCCAGTGACCAGTCTGAGGTTTGGGGTCCAAACTGACCACCACGCCAAAGTCCTCGGCCACTCGGTACAAGATGTAGCGGGCGATCCACAGCTCGTCGCCCATGGAGATACCCTCACAGGGACCCACCTGGAACTCCCACTGAAAACAAGAAAATATAATGATAATGACGTTAATGATAACAGTAATACTGTCATAATAGAAATAATAATAAAAATAACAGTAATAATAATAATGGTGACAACAGTAATGATAATAACAATAATACTGAAAACAGTAACATTGATAATATCGATAACCGTAAAAACAATAATTACAATATTAATAATGATAACTGTAGTGATATTAAAAATATAAATGATAATAATGATAAAAGTAATTACAATATCAATAATGAAAATAATGATTACTGTAATGATAACAATGACAATAATGATAACAGTAATAATAACAATAATAATAATGATGACAATAATAACAGCAATAATAATAATAATGATAAAACAGACAGACAGGCAATTTTTTTCATTGAAAGCAGGGCAAATGAATAAGCTAAAGCTTTCAGATGTTACCAATAACTCCGAAAAGCCCAAAAATTAATGAGCACCTGATTCCACAGCATTGTGACACATTTGTTCATCTATTCTCATCAAAGTTTAAAGTTTTTTAACAGCGCTATCAACACAATTTGGTCCTCTGTCCTCGTGTAAGCCAAGTTCAAAGTACGCTCATACGACCTTATGCAGCTGCGAGCGCCGTAAAAACCTTACTAAAACTAAAAAAGGTCAAAGTATTTACTAAACAGCGCCGTTATGGTCACCAAAATTTCGTCATAATTGGTCACTTTTAAGGACAGTTGGGCCAACCCAGATTTCAGGGGTTTCCAGAAATCTTGACCAACATCAAAAGTGGCCATTGCCCTACCTGTAGGAGAAGTTTGGTTTCACTGGTGTGCATATTTGTTTGGATATAGAGAAAACTCTACTTTTATTTTTTTTTAACTGAACAAGGGGCAAAAACTTTACCTTTGGTTTTCTCAAAACAGAATTTTTTGGGATAGCCCCCCCCCCCCCCCCTTCCCCCCGTGCTTAAAAGTGACCAATTTATCGTTGTTTGACCTACCTGAGACGGCATGACCTCTGCGTTGCAGCCGCTGACATTGACGCCGGCGTACAGACAGGCCCGATAGTGAGCCTCCACCACGTCCCGGCCGTACACTTTGTTGGCCCCGACACCGCAGTAGTACGGGCCTGGCGGGAAGAGAAAGTGAAATGAATATTTTCTTGTAAAAAAATATATTGTGACCTATTTGTGTTGCAAGTGCCGTAAAACATATCTTACTCTAGTTTTTAGTTTTAGTAGAGGTTTTACAGCGCTCGCAACTGCATATGGTCATATGAGCGCCAGACGATTAGAGGTGTTACAAGAGAGTAACAAACATAAAAAAAGAAGAAGGGGAGATAAAGACGATAGATGTTTGATAGGAAAAAAGAAGCAAACCACTCCAGAGCACCCGCTAACCACCCATGTATCTTACCCAGCAGTAATGGGTACCTGACTTCAAGTTGGGGAAGTAAAGGCGACGTGGAAAGGAACTGGCCACCCTACCACAATATGCCGAAGGCCCAGGAAATTGTCTCACTAACAAGGCAATCCCCAATGTCCGGATTGGATGCCGGAACACCGTTTTTTTTAGCAGCTGACTAGGCTGGATAGTACCAATTAACAAATACTCTGTCATGTCTACATGTTTTCTTTTAATACATCTGTCTGTCGGTCTGTCTGTCTTCCTGTCTGTCTGTCCCCCACCCTCAGAACATGAGACCTATATGTCTGTTTGTCCCCCCCCCCCCAAAAAAAAAATAAGACATGTACGTCTATTTATCCCCACCCCCCCTACCCCCCAACACCCCCACAACATAAGACACGTCATGTCCATTTGTCTCCCCACCCCCACCACCCCACCCCCGCCCACCTACCCCTAACCAACCGCCCATTCTCTACCTTGTGGTCCAGGGAATCCGTTCTTGGGCCAGCCCAGGGGGTGATCATCGTAGTCCAACAGCACGTACTCCTGTTCTATACCGAACCACGGGTGGGCCTCACTGGCACGGCGCATCACGTCCGCGCACGACTTCCTGTTGTTGGTTTCTGGAGATAGTGATGTAATAAAATAATATTAATAATAATAACAACAACAACAATGTCAAATAATGGATCTAATAATAATTAAAAATAATCATCACAACAACTATAACAAATAACAACAACAACAACAACAACAACAACAACAACAACAATAATAATAATAACAACAATAATAATAATAATACCACCACCAATAACAATAAATAATAATAAAAATTTTA